TTTCTGCACACATGTCGCCAATTTTATGCAATTTTTGTTGCCCGCTCTGACAACACCGGATGTCCTTCATTACGGTAACGAACTTTAGTGTATTGCGTTCACTTTGATGTCAGTCATGCTGGATTTAGATGCTTTTAAAAAGAACGCAACAATCTGCTTTTTAATTTAAAAAAAAAATAAATAAATTCTCGAATACATTTTGTTCTCCGAGCTTAATTAAAAATCAAATCTCCAATTAGTTCCTTTGTTAACTGTTTTACATCAACTGCTATTATTTACCCTTTCATATATATATATATATATACTCTTCGGTAAATGTTTAATTAAGATTTTTTTTAAGAGTTAATTAGGAATTTAATTATGAAATATAATATCATTTTTTTTAAATTTAAATAATAAAAACAGTAAATATGACAGTAATTATGAAAGAATGAAAAAATATTAATTACAGTGAAAGAAAAATATTCTCACTACAAGTGGATTCCTTTCATTTTATATAGAATTTCTCATTTGTTGCAATCTTTACTATAATAGTCGCCAAGTTTTTCTATCAAAATTCCTTTTAAACGAAAAGGAAACTTTTCTATAATATATATTCTGTTAAATTATTCCTCTCGCAACTAAGAGGAATAACATGAAATTTCTTCTACTAATTCAGCTTTTTCTATTATGTTATATTCACAAAAGCATTAATTTTCAATTAAGAGAAATGCCCTTTTATTCCTTTTACTTTGTTTCAATTATTTTCTTCTTCTAAAGTATTTAATCTCCAATGAAGAGTAATAATATTATTTCATCTTGTTTGCAATTTTTACTATTTCATTCTTAAAGTATTTCTCTCAAATTAAGAGGAAAGAGGCTTTATTTTGCACCTCATTGCCTTCGTTTCTATTTAAAATAGAAAAAAAATCTACTTTTAATATTCTTATACTGAGAGTATACTCTAATCGTTTTCCTCTTATTAGTAATTAGTTAGTAGTTAGTTAGTAGTTAGTTAGTAGTTAGTACTTAGTTAGTAGTTAGTAGTTAGTTAGTAGTTAGTAGTTAGTTAGTAGTTAGTAGTTAGTTAGTAGTTAGTTAGTAGTTAGTTAGTAGAGTCGCAAAAAAGGGAAAATAAGAAAAATGTAATTTAAAATAGAAAATCGATCAACTGGAAAATCCTATTAAAAGAGGATATTTTTTTAAATGTTTATTTTCAAATGTATTAAGTTAAATCAATTTCGTAAGTTATTTATTTTTTGTTGGTTATCATATAATGGGCTTTTGAGTAAAATAACAATGATGAGGGGAAGATGAGAATAAAAGACATCTCAGGGAATGGGACAAAGTTACAAAATGTTCCCCCCCCCTTAAAATAGAGCGTGCTCTAAAAAAAAACTCTCCTCTCTGTATATAGTATATAATCCGGAAGACACAGTAGGAATGCCATCAAACTTGTGTGTTATATAGAAAGAGAAGAAAAGTTAACCAAAGGTCGGAGATGGGGTGAGAGTAAGAGTAAGAGAGAGAGAGAGAGAGAGAGAGAGAGAGAGAGAGAGAGAGAGAGAGAGAGAGAGAGAGAGAGAGAGAGAGAGAGAGAGAGAGAGAGAGAGAGAGGAAGAGAGTGACGGAAGCCATGCGCTGCCAAAAGGGGGGAAATCCATCTGCTAAGTGCGGATAAAATTACCCCTCGACTCTTTTTCCATATATATCTCTTTGCAAAATTATCAAACCAACTTTATAGTTATTCTTTTTGCAGTTTTAACTATGTTTAAAAATTTTTTTTAATACAAATAATTTTTGCATATTATGTTATTTATTTTATTTATATAATTAAAAAAAATAAATTTGCTGTTTTTTTTTTTATTTTGTAAAAAAGTAAAATTTTTATTTTTACAATAAACCTTTTTTTTGTATCCTTTTATTGTGATCGAAAAAATTTACTATTATATTCAATTGGAAAATTTCTAATACCCTTTTGGAAATTGAAAAAAAATCGTTTTTCAAGGAGAATGTAATAAAAGTGACACTAAATTTTGCATTTTTAAAATTGAATTCATAGTCACCTTTTATTTGAAAGTCTTAAAGTACATACTCATGCTCGATATTGGAAGGTCAAGATTTCTCACTCTCTCTCTCTCTCTCTTTCTCTCTCTGCCTCTTGCGTACTCTCTTTTTTCTCTTTTTTTTCTCTCTCTTTCTCTCTTTCCAATATTAGGACCATTTTTTCAGAAATGAGATTTATGTCTTTTCTGCAGACTTGTCACATTTCCAATACTTTCTTATATGAGTCCTTCTTCGTCTCGTCTTCTTTTTCATTTTATTTATTTGACAAAAAAAAAAGTTTTTCTTTATTTTATTATAAATTTATTTATTTACAATTCAAATGTGCTTAATAAATAAATTAATAAATAATAATAATATAATAATAATAATAATAATAATAATAATAATTTTTAAATTATGTTTATTATACTACTTGAGAAAACTTAACAGTTACTACAGCATCCGTTTCCATGACAACTACTACCATAGCAACCGTTTCCATAGCAACCTTATCCATAGTATCCGATTCATTAGCAACCGTTTCCATGACAGTAGTTACCATAGCAACCGTATCCATAGCAACCGTTTCCATAGCAACCGGTACCACAGCAACCAGTACCATAGCAACCGTGTTCATAGTAATCGATTCATTAGCAACCGTTTCCATAGCAACGGTTACCATAGCAACCGTATCCATAGTAACCGATTCCATAGCAATCGTTTCCCTAGTAACCTTTTCCACAGCAACGGTTACCATAGCAACCGTTTCCATGACAACCTTTACCATAGCAACTGTTTCTATAACAACCCTTACCATGACCGTTTTTTCCTTAGCAACGTAATATTAATATTGGCCGCGAAACCCTGCAATGGAGGCTCGTTTTATTAATATTTATTTATTTCACTTTATTTATAAAATTTTATTTAAAAAAAACAAAACAAATGAAGTGAAAAATATTATTTAAATATTAATAAGAGAAAAAAATAAGATTAAAAAAAAAGTGAACGTTATTAATTGATATAATAAATAATGATGAAAATTATTGAGATATGATATTTATTGGGTTTTTGAATGGGTTCGATACCGATTTACCGTAAGCAGATACTATAGGGAAAAAGATGCGTCGTTCACTTTTGTAGAAGCTACCGAGAGAGGTATTGAGTTCTGTATCATGGCTGCTATAATACATTTTTTATCTGATTGAGGGGATCTTTATGGGGCGGGGGAGGATGAAAGAAGAGGGAAGGGAGAGTGTTTTCTGCGTACTCGTATAGTCTTCAGTGCGCACACGTTCACTTTTTTTTCCCTAGTTTTTTCATTTATATATATATATATATAAATTCTCTAATAAAAACACATTCGCTGACTCTTCCCGTTCCTTTAACAGAAACCAAATTACATCCATTAACTTTTATTATCTAGCTCCTTCAATGGATAAATTTTCTTTAAACGATATAATTTATTATCTTTACATTATACATATATATATGAAAATGAATAAATTGCTTTCGATTATAAAAAATGAATATTATATTATCGCTTTAGTTTTATAATTTTTTATGCTAATATATAAATCTCAGGCGGAAATTAATTGGAAAAATTTATTTTTACTTTATTAATAATTTGTGTAATATGTGTTAATAAAATAAATTATTTTATTAATTATTTTATAATAATAATAATATTATATTTATATTATAATAAGTAAAAGTAAAAAAAATCTTCATCTATATAACAGCGATAAGTTTCTTTGGAACAGCGATTTATTTCTTTAGAATAGCGTAAAACTTTCGTTGTTTTAGTGAAACATATCGCTAAACTATAGATGTAGATTTTTTTTGCATATAAAGAATAATAAAATTAATAAAATAATAATTTTTTCAGTAAATAGAATTTTAAACAATTAGTAATTCTATTTAAAATATCAATAATAAAATTTTTTATTAGAAAATAATTTAGGTAACATAACGGCAAAAAATAAATTTTTAATAGTCAAAAAATGTGTATGGTTATGGAAAGGGGGAGGGTGGTATAACACGAGTGGAAAAGACGTACTGTTGAAGAAGGGGTGATTTGTACGGGGGGTAGGAGATGAACAGATCTTGAAGAGAGTGAGAGAGAGAGGGGGGGGGATGGAAGAGTGTGGTAGTTGGGGATTGAAAAGCAATTTCCCCGCAAGGGAAGCGCAACGCGAAGGGAGGCTTTATATTAATGATCCAGATATATTATCGGACGTGACCGAAATTGCTGTCAAAAAACTCGGATATTGGATCGAAGGAGATTGCGAGATGCCGGCTCGTCGTCGTCTTCGTCGTCGCGTCGTCCCGTTCGTCATTTTGAGTCTGCGCGCTTTTCAAAAAAGCAATTCAGTGATGGAAACCAAAAATCTCCTGACTGAGTCGAATACCACAAATTGTTGATCTTTTCAAAAAAAAAAAAAAAAAACAAAAAAAAACCCCTTATTGTTAATTTATATATTTTATTTGAAGGAAAATTATTTTTTAAAGGTTAAAATTTAAATTTCTTATTAAATTATTTATTTTTTTTTGTAAACTAAATTTTTTAAGAAATTTGTTTTTTTTTTAAAAAAGAGTTTGATGATTAGGATAATCTATATTAAATCTACTTATATAAATAGGTATATTGTAAGAAGAAAAGCAATTTAGTTATAATGGGGATATAATTAAAAAAGTAATCACTTTAGTTATAATCTATATTTGCTTAACGAGACAATTATGGGTAAAAGATAAGTAGTTTTTTAAACGCGTTAAATTTACATTTATCGCTATGCGGGTGCGTTACATAATGTATGTATGGTTTACGAACGCGAGAGTGATAAGTATGTAGATATATATATATATATATATATATATATATATATATATATAGTACACTAAGTTTGCTTACCTTTTTTTTGAAATGATAAGAGTCAATGTCTAAAAGCTATTTGTTAAACTTCTCTCGTCTGTTACAGGCAATGACGTCTCCTTGGTCTCATTGAGGGCAAAAAAAAGGTCAGTGAACAATATTTTTTATTTTTTTTTAAGCATTTATTTCATGGTTTATTAGTACGATTTTTATTATTTATGTATTATATTAATTTTAAAATTTCTATTTCTATTCAAATAAAAATTATTTGGTTCAAGAAAATATTTATTTGATAATAAAGAAAACGATCAGTTAAATCAAATAAATTTCTTATTATTATTACTACTATTGTTATGATATTAAAATTGTTATATAATAATAATTATTATTATTAATTGTGTAATAGAATTAGAATTTTTAAACATTATTTTTTTATCATCAAAACCCTGGTTTGTAATTACAGTAATAAAAGTAGAAAAAAAATGTGAAATGGTCTCGGGGATATGGTAATGGACTAGTAAAATGCCGGCTTGGGTTCGAATCCCGCAAGGTTTTAAAAGTTTTTAATTAATATTTACAGGCAAACTACAAAAAATTTACAATAATAATAATAATAATAATAATAATAAAATAATAATAATAATAAAATAATAATAATATTGATTAATAATAATAATAAAATAATTATTATTTATGTATTATATTAATTTTAAAATTTCTATTTCTATTCAAATAAAAATTATTTGGTTCAAGAAAATATTTATTTGATAATAAAGAAAACGATCATTTGAATCAAATAAATTTATTATTATTATTACTATTGTTATAATATTTAAAATTATTATATAATAATAATTATTATTATTTGTATAATAGAATTAGAATTTTTTTAAAATTATTTTTTTATCATCAAAACCCGAGTTTGTAATTACAGTAATAAAAGTAGAAAAAAAAATGTGAAATGGTCTTGGGGATATGGTAATGGACTGGTAAAATGCCGGCTTGGGTTCGAATCCCGCAAGGTTTTAAAAGTTTTTAATTAATATTTACAGGCAAACTACAAAAAATTTACAATAATAATAATAGTAATAATAAAATAATAATAATATTGATTAATAATAATAATAGAATAATAATAATATTGATTAATAATAATAATAATAAGCCAAGCAGCTTGGCCTTTCCATAATAAAAATCGAATTCTTGTACGTTAATTTAAAAAATATTTAATTTAAGCAAAGGGGAATTTTTTGATGATTAAAAAAAATTTGGTTTGAATAGAATTTTTGATTAAAGGTTATAATATATATATATATGTATATATGGCATGTTTACTTTGCGCGCGCAACAAGGGCACACATAAGAGGCAATGGCGTAGGCTATAAGCCGGTTAAAGTCCTTATTATTTCAGTACCGGTTTATATTCTATATAGGCAGCGATATTAAGTCTGTTCGTCGTCGTCGTCGTCGTCGTTGTAGTCGGCAGTGGTCGAGTCTCAAAGACCAATTTCCGCTGGCCTCTATTTACATAGTTAGGTATACCTAGCGGATAACAGGGTTCTCGTGAGAGGGCGAGGGTTTTGGGTGGAGAAGGGCAAAGTGAGAGAGAGTGAGAGAGAGAGAGACCTTCTAGTTCATAAGGAAAAGGGGTGGTGAGGGGGGGGGAGGTGCAGCAAAATTTCCATAACTCGGTAATTGTAATGCACATTCATTACTCGCTGACGACGAATAGAATAATTAACTTTCTGCGGGCCTGGCCTATTTATATATTTATACTTTCTAATTTTCCAACCAGCTATTCTTCTCTCTTTAAAAAAGAAAAAAAAACACACGTATAACTTCCTGTTGAGACCATTTTTTTTTTCTGAAAAGAACATCTTTTTTTTTTATTGTAGTCTTGTCCCATTGTTAAAGGTCAAATTTTACACAAGAATTGAATATTATTTTTTACAAATTCCTACCAAAAAAAAAAAAAAAAATGTCAATGCCGCGCCAATACTGCGACAGTGGTCAATTATTTTTATACCAAATAATTTTTACTGCATTTTTTCTTATTAGTGAAAAAAAATATCAATTTATTACAATGTTTAAATAAATTTTTAAAAATAATTTTTGAATACAAAAAAAAAATTATTTAACAAAAATTAAATTAATAATTGATATTAAATTTTAATTGACAATTAATATTTTGAAAAAATTTACAATAAATTTTTGAATTTTGTTTTATAATAATATATTTTTAAAGAAGGAATTTCGCCTTTAGAAAATAACATCGTCTTACGTCAATGTATTTTGTGATATTTCGAGTATAGACTAAATCGGTGCATTCAACCCTCGTGTGCTTCTGATTGGATTGAATACGCTACAAGTTAGCCCATTGCTGATTGACACTTGTTCATGTCTACAATGAACAGCAACGTGCCTCTATCATTTTGTGCCCTGATTTTTCAATTTTTATTTCTGTCAAATAGACACAAAAATTTCACTCAACTATTTTTACATTGAAAATGATATAAATTTCAATATATTTATTTCAATATTATATTAATATTTATTTAAATATTAAAATTTTTTGTCCTATTTAATCATTTTTTTTATCATTTATTTTTTAATTTGAAAAAAATTGTTCTTCACTTTTGTTCATAATTTTTATTGACATTTTTTATATTGTATATGTATTTAAATAATAGGAAAATGTGACACAATTTTTTTTGTGTAATAAATTTGACTTAACGGTACGATAAAAAAAAAAAATCGAAATGATACACTGAGACTAGTGTGAAATAATGTAAATTAGATGCAATAGTAACAAGAGGATGGTTAGATTCTATAACAAGGGGTTGAAAGTATAAAGGGTGAGAATGAAATGAGTGATACAAAAGAAAGATTCTTGAAAGGTGTATATATACAAAGGGTGAATTGTATTCTTCTCTTATTTCGACACGGTTAATTGCACTTTATTTATGATCATATTTTTTTTAACAATAAAATATCTGGGGTTGAAAATTGGAGTTGAATATTAAATTATGAAATTGATAAAAATTGTCGTTAAATTTTGAAATTAACCATTTATTAATTAAAAAATATATATATTAGAAAGTTTTGTTAAATCAAATATATTTTCTTTGAATTAAAAAAAACTTCTTTAATCATATCACGGTGAATGTTTCTTTGATTCAAAGAAAAAATTTTTCTAGGTATAGGTCGTAAAATATTTTAGGTCAAATTTAGGTAAACTTTATTTTAGATAAACTTTATGAAGAGAAAAAAACAATTTGTGGGATAAATTTTTTTTTTCATTTTCCTTTTTTATTTATGTGAATATTTAAGGTGGGGTTCTTGAGAATATTGTGACGTGGTTGAAACGACGTTGCCTCGTTGGCAATCGAACAAGGCACACACCACGTTCTGAGCGAGAGCCGCCACATAGTGAAGAGGAATCGGGTCGACGACGGGTTCGAGGGGTGGAGGGAAGGGAGTTTGAAGTCGCGGCATCAGAAGGGTAAAGAGGGACGAGGGATTGTACTTAGTTAGCGGACAATGCGGCCCCTAATGAACAGCCAGGGGCGCCCGGCAGACCAGCTACTGGAGCACGCCATCCAGTCTGAGACAGATTGCGTTACATTATATTACGTTATCAAGCCGAGCTTAGTCCCATTTGACGCATTGCGTTACATCTCGTAACATTCGCAATGCATCTCGTGTCGATTCGACCGATTAAATCCTACCTCCTGTTTCTGATTGTCTCTGATTACTCGCCTTAATTACACTTCTATGTGTGTTACACAATTAGAGTTTAATTTTCAAAAAATTTCACCTCCTCTCTAAATAAATAATAATTATTATAGTAAAATATGATTTTTTGTTTTCTATCGAGAAAAAGATGGTTAAAAATGAAAATAGAAAAAAAGGGCTTGAGGTGTCGATCTAAAGAGAGTGAGTGAGAGAGCGAGAGACATTGATTGAGGGCTCATTGAGAACCGCTGTCAGCTGCGGCAGTGGTAATTGGATTCAATTGTCCCGCTTTAAATCAGTGACTACATTCTCTCTCTCTCTCTTTTTCTCTCTCATGCCAGATCTCTTCGTTCTGTGTCTATCCATCCGCTACTCCTACGACACTGTTCATTCAAATAACTCGAGCTGTCGGAAGTTTGTCCTGACTCGGAAAATTGATGATCGCTTCCTGGAAAATTCGCGATGGAATTGCTCTCCTTTCCCCCCTTCATCACCCACTTTTCATATTCAGATCCTGTTTTCCCTAGATTTAATTTAATTTCGAAAATGGAATATTATCTCAAGTTATTCGAAGCAGCTTTTCCTTTTGATGGGTTTTCTTATCTTTTGTATGAATTCAAAGTCAGCCACACTGAATTCGACAAACACTATCAAAATATATATTTGAAACAAGAAATCGATTCTGCATCAATTATAATCAACAAATAATTTCAAAATCGTAAATTTTTCGAAAAATACGAAAATTTATTTAAACCTATCTCACGATCTGCTGGACCAATCAAAAAGTGCGCACTATATTTTTTGTTAAAAACTTTCTCCTAACTACTTTGGTGGTATTCCCGAACGATTATCTCGCGAATTTAATTTTTCCAAAATTTTTCCCAACTTATTTGAGTGTAGCACAGCATCCGCTGGACCAATCAAAAAGTGCGCCATACATTTTTTGTTCGAGACTCCCGGGTTAAGACTTTGGCGGTATTCCCGATCAATTATCTCGCAAATTTACTTTTTCAAAATTTTTTAAAAAATTTATCTGAGTGTAGCTCAGCATCCGCTGGACCAATCAAAAAGTGCGCCATACATTTTTTGTTCGCTACTTTTTGCTAAAGACAGTTATGGCATTCCGGAGCGATTATCTCAAAAATTTAATTTTTCTACATTTTTTCCAAATTTGTTTTTTACTGTAGCTCAGCATCCGCTGGACCAATCAAAAAGTGCGCCATACATTTTTTGTTCGAGACTTTTTGCTCAATTTTTTGGCATTATTCCCAAGGCATTATCTCGCGAATTTAATTTTTCGAAAATTTTTCATAAATTTATTTGAGTTTAGCTCAGCATCCGCTGGACCAATCTGAAAGTGCGCCATACATTTTCTGTTCGAGACTCCCGGGTTAAGACTTTGGCTGTATTC